AGGATACAACTTGAATACATCACTGAAATCAAGTTTCTTGGAATGTGTAGTGTTTGGAGCACTAAAATAATGCCAATTATTGTTCAAGTCAAAATGGTAGCTTCTTAAAATAGTCTATGCCAACTGGTTGCTGTAAAGTAGAGTTGGGTCAGAGGGTGACATAATTCAAAAAACTCTGTAGCAGAAATGATTTGCATCTGAATAATACTCATGACAATCTTGAAGGATAAGTATTGAAAAAGAAAAAGAAGAAAAACAACACACACTATACCCAGCACTTGTGGAAATGTCATTGATGGAAGATTTAGAAATGTGGGAGTCGATCTCAATCCTCCATTTTTGCAGATCTACTGTTAGTCTTTTGTACACCAATCGATGTTTCTTCAGTCTTAAATGTCTCCTTCCTATCACACTTATCTGATTAACTCCTATTCAACCTGCAAAGCCTACCCAAGACACCATTGTGGCCCTGACCTATTTCCCTCTCTCCATTTGGGCTCTTATAAATCAACTCCTCAACCCTATCCCACTCCATCCTCTCATTCCTATTTGGGTTTCTTGCCTCCTCTAAATGATCCTATAGTCTCTCTCTCTCTCTTTTTTTTTTCTTTTTTTGCTTATCTCCATCACAATACCTTATATGATAAAATACAGTATGTTAATAAAATAAAACAGCCATTCCTTTTGTTTTCCCTACTAAAAATGGTCTTTTGGAAAATGCTGGTCATGGGGCCTGGCACTTAACAGTCACTCAAAAAATGATCATTGGATGAACAAAGAAATGAAATAAAAAAATGAGTGGAAGACTAGAGAATTCTCATGGAGCCTTTGCATTACATCTACAGATTGTAGACAACCTCAGGAAAGAGCATAGTGGATGGTAGCAAATGTAATAGATAAGACTTGGGAACAAATGTTTAGTGATCTTAAAGCTCTGCTGCATGAATTCAAGAAACTCATATCTGTAATTCCATTGTATGTCTTGTCTACATGTCCTAAATTTTAATTTATAATTCTGAAGTCAGGAGTGATTTTAGGTTAGTTCAAAAAATAAAAACTTTTGGGAGCTATGAAGTGAACATTTCAGTAACCACTTTTCTGTCTATTACATTTTTGGTCAATAAGGTTTGAGAAACTTGTGCACTGAGTTAAAATGCCCAAGCAAATAGAAGTGTTCTAACAAATCTTTTTACCCCTTTCCTTCTGTTATTTTTGTGATTTTTTTTCTGTTCTATTACAATAATTTCTCTGAGCCATTTTTATAACGTTTTCTTATAATTTTAAGCTGAAATGTTTACACTTTCTCCTGCCCAATTACTTCATGACCTTTCTACGCACGGTATCTGAAACCAATTAAATTGTTAAATGGGTAAAGTGAGCACAGGAGAGATCAGTTGGCAAGAATCTCACAGGCCTGGGCAGGTGGGGGATGGTGTGTGGGGTGAGGAGGGGGAGGCATTGCTGGGAAGAAGGAAAAGTGCAAAGGCTGTCCTACAATCAGGCATTGAGCAAAGAAATGTGAATCGATTAAGACTTTGGCTCAAGCCCTAGCAATCAAAAGCCAAAAAATGAAGACTTTTACTAATTCGTGTGTCATTTGGGAATTTACTTCTGGCTAAGAATAATTTCAGTGATACTCAATAATTCAGTTCTATGTGGAGGCAGAAAAGTAGCATGCGCGTTCTCCGGACATGCCTACCCTTAAAATAAACAAGGTTTGCTCTGGCTGAACTCCCCCTCGCATGACATTCTGGGGCATCTGCTCTAACCCTTCTCATGGGGCTCTTCTCCTCAGATCTCCCCTCCTCAGGAATACCCCACGTGCCAGACTTGCTTAGTCCAGTTCTTCACCCTCATCATCCCTTTCTACCTTTCCTCACTAAAATGCTCCAGAGAAGTTGTCAACTTTGATAATTCACAGTGAACTGCAGTGAGTAACACTAGCTTTCACTCTTCTAAAGTATTTGTTCAGAGTATTTGTCATTCCACATAAGCTTCAGGTTTGTTGAATCTGGTGATATCAAATTTTTGAAGAAGAGAGGATACTAAAGGCAGTTGGGTCAATGCACAACTTTAAATCACACCACACAACTATCTCTGAAAATGGGGGTTTTGGTGAAGAAAGAAGGAGAAATCTTATTTATGATATTGGAATTGAAACAGAATTTTGGATTAAAAACCTCTACCTTAAGTTTTCTGGATTAGTTAACTGTGTATTACATTCACATATAACCTCATAAAAGAAGATATTTTAGAATTAATTCTTATGATTTATAATGTCAATTATTTTTTCCTTTTCAGGGTTAACTCAAATTTGAAACCCTCTTGTACTTGAAACAATACATAATTTTTTTCCTTCTCTTTCTAATAGAAGAGAATCTCTCTACCTTTGACCTATAATATATTTTAAGCCCTGAAAGAACTTTTTTGACCTTTAAACATCCAGAATTACATAACACATATATCTCCACACAAAATAGCCAGTGTGTACTTGGACATGTTTCAGTGGGTTTTAATTTATTCACAGGAATTTCTAAGCTTTCTCTGTTTGTCAAATAAATAAATTTAAGTCAGGAATTTCTGGGCTGTGGCTAATTTCAAAGAGTATGTTTAAGGGAACATTATTCTCAACTTTGTCCTGTAAATCTGACCAGATTCTCAGCAGCCCGTGGGGACTCCTGCAAACACAATGTTTTATAAGGAAGCAACTCATATTTCTACACAAATGGAATGGGAATGCAGAGAACCTATTGTATTAAAGAAGTACTAGTTGGTCTCTGAGAAATTGGGCCAATAAATTCTTCCTATCAGTTGTTATTCCTCTTTAATGGTGACTAATATTTTTTGAAGAATGTTCACTTTAAACAGAGCAGAGGCCATTTATGAAATGCTAAAATGTCAAGCCTGGTTGAGTAAAGCAGATTGTGAAAATATTCAAACCTGTCTTCAAACAGCAGAAACCGGTATCACATTTAAACACATTTTGATGACTATAAAATACAGATGAAATGAATCAGCTGGAATCAATTACATAAGGAGTTTAAATCACCAGGATTTAATTTTTATTACATACTTTGTAGCACCCAATTTTAATATTTCCAATTCCATTTTGTAATCACTTAAAAAGTTTAATTAAACTTGCCCTCTATTCTTGAGTTTTGAACATCAACTAGAAATAAAACAAAGCTTCTGTACATGACAAATCTGCATAAAGCCTCAGCAAACAGTATGTAAATATTGAGACACTGAAATTATTCCTGTTAAAGGAAAGACAAAAAACACTTATGTAAAGAAAAAGATGTTTGTGGGGCGCCTGGTTATGCATTTGCCTTCTGCTCAAGTCATGATCCCAGAGTCCTGGGATCCAGTCCCACACTGGGCTCCCTGTTTACCCTGGAGCCTGCTTCTCCCGCTCCCCTTGCCACCCCCCCTGCTTGTGCTCTTTCTCTCTGTTTGTCAAATACATAAATAAAACCTTGGAAAAAAAAAAGAAAGATGTTTGCTACAATTGGTAGCATTAAAAGGGTTCTGAAACTCTTTGCCAATACAATAATATTTTACTAATTGCAATATTTATGTGTGCAGGGAATAATGGAATATCTAGGTTTGGATATAAGATTTCCAAGCTAAAAATCAAGCAGTAGCATATTAGAATGAAAAACTGAAAAAAAACCCTCTATCCTAGAAGAAAATTAAACACATTTAAATAAACCTTACAAAAATGACTAAAGGATATAATTAAAGAGATATCTTTACTTTGATTTTCTAGATTGAAAGATCCTCAAGGAGAGAGATTTTATGTTATTTGCTAACATTTCTCAATGCTTAGAGGCTGACATGAAGTAAGCATTTAATCAAAATTTGTTGACCCAGTGAAAAGTTTTGGAAATTTATTAATGATAGGTAACTGATTTGGTTTAAAAATGCCAGTCAAATATTATCACATAATTTAGTTGCCTATCATGAGTTAGAGACAAAATTTCTTCCAAAGAAACTTCTTAATCTATTGAGAAGCAGTGTTACAATTAAATTTAATATAAATCTAGTAATTTTCTTACTGATACCAGAAAGAAAACTTCTATATTCATATTCACTACTCTAAAGACTGGTCTTCTAGAATATATCTCAAATACACTATAGGAAAAAACCTGTTAGAATAACTTAGATGTTACAAACACTGCATGTTCAAGTTTTTCAAACTTATGTGATATTTTCATTCTAATGACAAGCAAGTAATGCTTGCTTGTCTACAAGACTTCTAATTTCTGTTCTGGTTCTACATATGTTCATATGCTTCTTAACACTTTCATACAAAACATTTTGGTGAAAAATTTAAACAAACAAAATAAGTTATGATGATTTGAAGGGAAATTATTATGATATATTACAGTTTTCAAAATGTTTATTAAAACATTTTTTGAGGGCACCTAGGAGGTTCAGATGGTTAAGCGTCTGACTTTGGCTTAGGTCATGATCTCCAGGTCCTGGGATGGAGCCCCAGAGGGTGAGGGTGAGGGTGAGGGCGGGGGGGGGGGGGGGGGGGGGGGGGGGGGGGGGGGGG